CACATCCTCATTACCTCACAGTGGTGTTTAAATACTGGAAAGACAACTGGTTGGTTTGATCAATTTAATCAACTGGCTATTTTGGATAATTTAGTCAAGCTAATTGTAGGAGAGGAAAAAATTCCTCTACCCTCTTAGGTTCAGTGGTTGGCACTATGTTAACTGACAAAAGACAGATTAAATAGAGAAAAACAGTTTATTAACATGTGCATTGTACATACACATGGGAGAACTCAGTGATGAGTAACTCAAACGGGTGGTCAGAACTTGGGCTTATATAGCATCTTAGAAAAATAAATTTGTAGAGAAGTGACAAAAGAAAAGGGTTTAAGCTTTTAGAGTAGCAAACTGTTAGAAGGTAATTATATATAGGGGAAACTAGTAGAACATAAGGATTATTTGGGAAAGTTTGTTATGTTGATTCCCCTTAGAGCCCATCTTTAGGCTAATAAGAGTCTAGAGTTGTCTCCTGATCTTTAAGAGTTGTTTTTCCTGGTAAAAAAAAAGGGGACACATTTACAGACTTATGTCCTACTTTTGGGTAAATGGTGGGGGGCAGAGAGTTTTTCTTGTATCTGCTTCTTAATTGTCTTTAGCTCAAAATAATCCTTATATCAAAGTTGCATATTTTGGGGTGGCATATTCTGATACCCTACATAATCAATTTAGTCAGGTAAGTAGGAGAAAATATCAGGTCAGATAGCTGATATTTTGAATGTGACCCAAAAATACAGACAATTTTCAATTTTTTATTTTTCCACCAGTTGGGTTAACAGAGCATTGCAGTGCTTTTTGGTAGAACTAGGGAGCCTTCTGTGAGATGCTGGTCTGAACATGATGTTCAGGACTGCAGATACCTTTGGAGCAAAGAGAAATTGGAACTCTTCCTTCTCCTTATGCTTTTGGAACCAGATTCACTTGGAAGCAACTGGTCTCAGGAATGTACTGAGTCAGACATCCACTGATTTCACTACATGGATTCCACCTTATTAACTGACTTAATAGTTTTCTCAGTCATTCTGAGAAAACAGTTTGCCTAGGCAAACAGTTAATTTAATACAAATAATCACTCATATTGGCCATTTTACTTTTAGGCTGGTTTCTACAAAACTGACAATCTGATTTTGGCTCTAAATAGAGGAACTTTTCTTTTCTCAGTTGCTTTTATCCCAACATTCTTATTCTCATATTGCAAACCAGAGAGAGACCCAAAAAGAACCTGCAAAGATGTACCAATAATGGACAATCTTCTTAACTACCCCCTTTCAGGGACCTCCCCCAATTTGGAAAAGTCTAGTGGCAATTAAAGTAAGGCTTCCCCAAGGGTAAGTGAATTGAGAAAGATTGGTGTTAAGTATGTATGTCGGTATTTGGAGGTGCACTTGTGTGCATGCCTTCGTGCATGTGTTGAAGTTGGGAGAAGTGAAAATGCTATTGGTCTGGACAGGAACTCAGAGAGGTGGCTGCTGTGGGGGAAAACTGTTAGGTAGAAAGATAGACATAAGCAGCTGGAGAAGGGAAGATAAGGTTCAAAGACAAAGCCCCCAGATAAAGTTCAAAGAAAACTTGCAAAACTCTGCCCGGGTAGGGGGTCCCATGTGAAGACAACAAAGGCTTTGCAGGGAGATAACTTCCTCCCCAACCAGATCCCAATGGGGGCACAATCAAAGGGAACTAGGAACTGCCCAAATCACAGCTCAGCAAGGGGAAAGGACATGCTCACTGAGAGGGATGACTATATAGAAGGACCTGTAGATCAAATAACCGCACCTTGTCAATCAAAGAGGTGCCACCTAGTCAGAATGTAAGTAATATACAAGCCTCCCACCTAAAAGCTCAGAGCCTTTGCCCCCCTGGCTCTGGTCCGCTCTTCCATTGGAGGGTATTCAAATAAAATTTTCTCTCTGCTTTGCTACTGTGTCTTTGCCTTTCAGTTGTTTGTTGCGCCTGGGACAAGGACCGAGAACAAACTCAACCCGTAATAAAATGACCCTGAAAATTTTAAACTAAAAAAGAAGGGCTATGTACATTTAGTTATTCCATGATTTCAACATCTAATCCTCAATTTTATAACTAGAGTGTATATATCTGGACTTTTGCATTTAATAATTCCTTTTCTCCTTTAAAGCCTCATCTGTGTGTGTGCAGGTGGGGTGGGGAGGGACAAATAAGATTTTTTCTGAATGCTCTATCCTTCTAGCGGAAGAGAAATTCCTCTCAAGAACATATATATATATATTTTTTAACCTGGTCCTTTAAATTATACTGTCAAGTAATCTCACATTAAATAATTGGTATTCACTAGAAAAAAATAATGTGATTTACCATTGTTTAATTCTGCTAGCCACGCTGCACTTGTCCTGAAAAGCTGCATAATTTATGCAAATAACTTCTTTTAAAGTCAATCTTACAGCAGAAAAATTACCCTCTGCTCCCAGGAGAGTGAATTTTTTTGTGTTGTACTGCTTCCTATGGCTGACATTTATTTGACTCTCAAGTGTATTTACATTGTTGGTTTAGCTTTGAGTTCTTTGCTGAATCAATAATACACTGTATTTCTTGCTTCAAGTGGTGTCAATATTATTGTTATTCCTATTTTCCCTTTTTTTCCCCCTTATTCCCCTGCAGTTACAAAGTTTTTCTCTGACTTGTGAAAATTTTTACTCCTAAAATTATGAAGAAACAGAGTAAATGTCCTTTTAATCTTCTGGGGAATGTGTGCCTCTTTAAACTTTATTTACGTCAGAACTTACTGTAATGAAGGACAAAAACTGTAGACAAGGTCCCCTGCTCCTTGGGGGTGTTCAAGGCTAGGTCTCCCGGAGCCTGCAGTTTATTCTCAGAAGTTTATAGCTCACCTCCGGGCTATTTCTTTGCAAGAGGCATGAGAGGGGGCTAGAAATAGAGTAGGGTGGGAATCTGACCCATTGTGACCACTCAGGAGGCTCTGGCCTGGAAAATTCCCTTGTATGTGGTAAAAACAAACATTTGAAATGGAGGGAGAAACCAGGCTTAAACAAAGAGTGAAACCAGTTCCCATTTCAACTCTCCTGCCGATAACCATATGTGCCCGCTCATTTGTTTCCCAAACATCAGTTCTCCATCATTTGGACAGAGCCTCAACCTGAATCTCTCCAGAGCACAGGACACAAATATTTTGAGATTTCATAAAATGGTGCGTATGTATATTAGGAGCTTTTTCTAATGTTCAAACTCAGGCTACAAAAAAATAAAAAAATACCCACTAAAATGGTGTTTTGCAAACCTTTCAATCCTACTGTATTGTTTAGGTGATGGTGACCTTTTCTTACTGGTCCCATCTGCCTGTATGCTACAGGATTGAGTTCAATATTAATGGAGAAACAGACAAATGTCAAAAGCCATCTGTTTTGTCTCCTGTCATTTGTAATTTTGTCTTCTGTCACCCACCCTCCCTTTGTTGCTTTCCTTTTGCTGGACTGGTTCCTTGGGCTCCCAGTACTTCCTTAGAACCTGCCCCCTCCCTGTCTGCGGCCCGCAGCGTGGATAGATCCCTGCTATCAGAAAAGTATGCTCCATAGAAGTAACTGGAATCCCTATGCCCATTTAAGTGTCTTGGGGCTCTGGTTTTTTAGTTATGCATTTGGCCTACCTGTGGTCTCCATTTAGGGACTACAAGTAAGAAAAACACTTTCTCCCACATCACACTCCTTCAAACTCATTCCCCTTCTTTAGGGCTTTGACAATGGCTTATGATGGTCAGCAGCGACTTTTTGTAAATGTTACATGCTTTCTTTTAGCTAGGACAAAGGGCGAGGCGAAAGGGCCAGCTGGTGCTCCCTCCTGTCAGGTGGAACTTAAGAAAGAGCATGGGCTCTGACATTACAGTGTCTCCGTTTAAACTCAAAAGTCCTCATTTAATAACTATGTGGCCTCAGGAAAGTTATTTAAACTCTGAGTTTCCTGATTTGTAAACAGAGGTAATATTATTAGTTTATAAGAGCATCTACCATGTGCTAGGCATGGTTTGAAGCACTGTAAATATATTAGCTCTTTTAATTTTCACAACTCCATGATGTAGGTAATTAACATACCCATCTCTCAGATGAGAAAACTGAGATATGATGAAGGCAAATAACTTGGTCAAGGTCATGGAGTTCGCCAGTGCTCTAGCTGAGCTTGTGAAGCCTGATAGTGGGATTCCAGAGGCCACACGAATACCGGTATGCTATATTGCCTCTCTATTAAATAAGTATACAGCACTCAGCAGTGTTTGGCATGTAATGTTTATTGTCAGCTAGTAGTATCGCTACCATCACCTGTTCTTATTTTTTTTCCTTTTGTCACTCTCTCTTCTACCAAATTGTGTAAGGTTGATCACTCCCACACCCACAAATAGAAAAAACCAGCAGTGAGATCTAGGCTGCAGTAGTTGCATAGTCCTTCTTCACCTCGTGTGCTTTGTGTTTAAACTGCAAATATGACAGAGATCTATGACAGGAGGCACCAAATGTTAATACCTCTTTTTGAAGATATGAAAATTATCTCCGTCCAAGTCACTGCCCCTCCAGCAACAAGCCAACAAAAACTGCATAAAGCAAGGAAGAAATTTTAGACTTCAAGTCAAGCTGCTACTATTTAATCAGCAGGGGTAAAAATTTTCAAAAAATAATGAAGTTTGTGAAAGATGTTGGTGGAAAAAGACTCTCTTACTAGAATAAATTCCCAGTCTCCACTCCTTAACTCATTTTAGAATGCCAGTATCAGGGAAAAAGAAGGAGAAAACTCTGCAAATAATTATATTCTTACTTTAAAGTAAGCCACTGACTTCAAAATTTTCTAACACATTTGTGGAAACTTCATTTTTTTTGAGATTTATTTGAATGAGCTGTTATGATTGGAGACAGTGAGAATTTCAGATTAATGTTTTGCAGCCAAAAAAAAAAAAAAAAACTCCCCTGGAAAGCTGGCAAGTGTTCATAAGTCAGCCCTAGAATTATGTAGGTTGAAGGCTCCCAGTGGACAAACCGAACATATAAGAAGGAAACCAGAGATCTGGTGCTATTATATCCCCAAGTCTAAGGGAACGAATAAGCACAAAATTAAAAGCATTCTTCAGCCTGAATTTTTAAGGTAGGTCTGCACAATTTGTATATACTCTATATTTGGAAAGTAGAGCATACATTAAATGAAAATATTCTTTATAGATAAACTTTCCCTTTTTCCTGTATTTTAACACTGTATTTTGCAAAAACTCCTAAATTATTTAACTGCTGTTTCTCTTACAGGGGTGCATTTAGGAACTAGGCAAGCTGATTTATGATAACCAAGTTTTAAACTCCAACAACCAGTAAGTCCTTAAGTGGGTTTATTTTAGATTTTTTCATGTTATGAGATGATGGAAGAATCTCATAGTCAAAATTATGAGAGAATGAATTTTGAACAAAAATGATAACTTTGCTGCTTAGAGATTCTTTGATGATTACATTTTTCATTGTGTAGTTTGTTTACATGTATTTTGAAGCTATCTAAAGTAATAGTCTTTCCCTTACTGTGTTTACCTTCAACTAATTTTCTTTTGTTTTAAAATAATGTTTTTATTTCACAAAACCCAAACATTGATTATAACATTTCAAAGCCATGTAGCATTGTTACTACTTAGTTGTGTTAAACTGAAAAGATAGTGAAGGAAAAATGATACAATTATATCATGATTAATCATTGATGTTCAATTCTTATTTTATTGAGCAATCAAAACTATTTCTACTTGACCATAAATCAGATGTGGCTATTTTTTCTTTTTCTTTTCCTAATTGAAAAAGAAAATGGATTTTCTTTTGACTAGATTAATATTAGATATCTATATTTAAAACCAATAATCTATTAAAATAGGAATAGGGAACTTTTGGAAATGTGCATATATTCCATAACTTCCTCTTAATTATATTATGATTACAAAGACAATGGAAAAGTAGAACTAAATGAATGATTTCTTATTAGTAAAAGCCAGCCACAGTCTCCCATCTCAATAGATTCCTTTTGCATCTTCTCTTTCAGTCTTTTGTATACTTATTTTTTCCACAGCTTATGTTACATTTTCCGTAGCTGTAATGATTTGTATATAATTACTCGAATAAGGCACTTCTCTATGCAGTAGCAGGCAGCAGTGTGGTTTCTAGAAAGTATACAGACTGAGATATGGGCTCAAGCATTTTTCTTATTTCTTGGTTCCTTTTTATTTTGTTTCACACATTTCCTATCCTGGCTATCCTTTTGAGATATTAATTTTCTTTAAACCTTTTGAAAATATGATAGAAAAGATGGTAAAAATGTAGTTTTGCTCAGGATTTTCAGTCCCTAATGCTGAAATGTCTTAACTTCTTGGTACTATTGAGAAAATACTCTTTTGTTCTCTAAGAAGCAAAATCCACTCTTATTTCATAAGGCCTGGTTGTATACCCTGATGTCTTCTATAATCACCCACTTTTTTGCTTTCAACAGACTTTCAAAATGCTAGTGATTCCATAATGTGTAAACTCTCTGTGTTTTCTGAGAGTTCCATTTTTATTTCACAGAAGGCATAACAATTAAGAGCTGCTGACATTTCAATATGAAGGGCAACTTCACCTTTGCCACCCTCAGCAAAAACAGTACCAGCAGACTTCACTTTGGACTTGTGAACATCTCTGGCAATGAGTCTACCATTAACTGCTCACATAAGCCATCAGATAAGCATTTAGATGCCATTCCTATTCTCTACTACATGATTTTTGTGATTGGATTTCTTGTCAATACTATTGTGGTTACACTGTTTTGTTGTCAAAAGGGTCCTAAGAAGGTTTCCAGCATTTACATCTTCAACCTGGCCGTAGCTGACTTACTGCTTTTGGCAACACTTCCTCTCTGGGCAACCTATTATTCTTACAGATATGACTGGCTCTTTGGACCTGTGATGTGCAAAGTTTTTGGTTCTTTCCTGACCCTGAACATGTTTGCAAGCATTTTTTTTATCACGTGCATGAGTGTTGATAGGTACCAATCTGTCATCTACCCCTTTCTGTCTCAAAGAAGAAATCCCTGGCAAGCATCTTATATAGTTCCCCTTGTTTGGTGTATGGCCTGTTTGTCCTCATTGCCAACATTTTATTTCCGAGATGTCAGAACCATTGAATATTTAGGAGTGAATGCTTGTGTTATGGCCTTCCCACCTGAGAAATATGCCCAGTGGTCAGCTGGGATTGCCTTAATGAAAAATATCCTTGGTTTTATTATCCCTTTAATATTCATAGCAACATGCTATTTTGCAATCCGGAAACACTTACTGAAGACCAATAGCTATGGGAAGAACAGAGTAACTCGTGACCAAGTCCTGAAGATGGCAGCTGCTGTTGTTCTGGCATTCATCATTTGTTGGCTTCCCTTCCACGTTCTGACCTTCCTGGATGCTCTGGCCTGGATGGGTGTCATTAATAGCTGTGAAGCTATAGCAGTCATTGACCTGGCACTTCCTTTTGCCATCCTCCTGGGATTCACCAACAGCTGCATTAATCCCTTTTTGTATTGTTTTGTTGGAAACCGGTTCCAACAGAAACTCCGCCGTGTGTTCAGGGTTCCAATCACTTGGCTCCAAGGCAAGAGAGAGAGTGTGTCATGCCAAAAAAGCATTTCCCTTCGAGAAATGGAGACCTTTGTGTCTTAAACATGAGAGTGGAATGCATGTTATCAGCATGGCTACTTGGTATGAGGGCCCCTTGGCTTATCTTTTAATGGCTTGAGTAAAATAATCAGTTTCCCTGCAGGAAATCTTTTCTCACTCTTCTAGAGCAGCAAACCAAATGGAACAGTAAGTTTTATCCTCCAGTGACTTTCAGAAATTGCCCATGTTCTTTTCTGGTCTAGCAATACAAGACTGTCACTGGAGAGATACATTCATAACCTAGACGTAACTGGACATTTATTTCAATTTATAATTAACAACAAAATGTGAATGATAATTTGGGGTTCTAGATTTCTCTTTGACAAATGCTGGAGTTTTTCAGATTGGTTTTTATATCCATTTGCATAAGGCTTTCCTCTTGAACTGAGGCCAGTCTTTAAACTTGCTGCATTATTTACAGGATGTCATGCTACGAGACATCAGCACTTCTAAGTAAGGTATATGACAATACATTGGTACCAGATTATTCAGGCTCTAGGAATATACCTTCTAACTTTAAAAAATATTATGGATAATCTTTTTTATATTTAACTTGAGCATAGAGGTTTATATTTAAGATATTGCTACATATTGAGTAGGGCTAGTAATATAGGTTAGATCACAGGTACTCTTAGATTTTACCCTGTTTTTACAGTTATAGAAAGTAAAATATATAGTAACACAGATTTGTAACTAACAAATATTTGAGTGTTCACTAACCCTGAATAAACATTTTTTAACTTTCTATCCATTTTAACTTGTTTGAAGGTTTCTATATTCTCTGATAATTTTTTAGAAACACTAACTAAACACTGTGTAGTGTTATAAAATGTAAAGGTCAGTTTTAACATCCTTGACCTTTTGGATGTGGTACTTTGATGTATAGGAAGTTGACTTGACTTTTATTATTGATGCTTTGGTTCTGGGTGGCTTCTTTAACTTTTTAATTTGTAATAAAACCTTAACTGGCATAGAAAAAAAGTTATGCCAGAGTGGAATTTTCATGTCCAGGGAGACAAGAGATCTAGCAAATGACAAGTTTGGTGTCATGCAAAAAACTTGCCTGTCAGGGCAGTGCAGCATGGCTTTGAAAATATAGAACATGGGGTAGACTTAACCTGTACCTACAGATACAGTTTGCTCCAGAATTTATAGGATTCTATGGAACTCTTTAAAGCCAATCACTGGTTTACAGATCTCCTTCTCAATATTATTAGAACTCCTAAGTTAGAGGAGTACCTGAAACTGATTGAGTTTACTTAGAGTATGAATCCTAATTTTAGAAGTTAGAGATTTCATTCTTACCAGCCCCATATTATACCAGGTTATCCAGGATCTTTCTGGACGAATACTGACCTCTGAGGTAGAAATAAAGTTTCAGAGGCTTAGTGTCTCTGCTACATCCCAGGGCTATAGGTTGAAGAATCCTCTAGTTCCGTTTTCTGGGAATGTCCTAATTTAGGTAATCTATTATTATCAATAAAAACAAATAGCTAAATGTATAACCAACTATGACTGCGCATTTTAAATAATTTTGTAAACGTTTCTTATAAATAAAATCTTTAATTGGAAGATCATGTGTGCATACTTTTTCATTTTAATCACCTCCAAGTACAGACTTACCTTCTCTTATATCTGTATTCTCCTTATAGTCCCCACTGATAATTCTTTTTTTCAGCTCCTATCATTCATTCTCTGGCTTCTTGCTGTACTTTTCTCATCTCTCGGGAGTCTTCAGCTCTAATTTCTTATTAATTGTGAAAAGAAAGTCCTGATTTCATATCAAAGTCCACAAGACCATAGGAGATCTGATCCTTCCCAGCCTCTCTGGCTTTTTTTCTGCATGCCATCTGTCTTGCGCACTCTACGTTCAAGCATCATATGGGACTGACTGCTTTTTTAAGGCCTAATGCTGTTTCATGCCTCTCTGCTTTTGTTCACACAACTCTGTCTTCCTGACCACCCCTTCACACACCTCCACCTGCAGGGTGTCTCATTCAGTTGATGAACACTGACTCAGCTTTCAGCATTCAGCTCATGCCAATTTGTCTATCACAAAATTAATTTTTATACTAATTATAATACAAACCTCACTCCCTGGTAGTTCTCTTAATAAAGAGAATTGTTTCACCAGTCCTGGGACATTAAGCCTAGCCTCCACTTCCATAGGAGCCAGTACAGCCCTAAGTAGTTCTCTGAGGCTTGGACTCCAGTGGACTTTCCTGGGTCTAAGAAGATACGTCAGTTGAGAAGATGCTGAATGAACTCTGATTGCAGGAATGTATAAAGGTATAAAGATGTTCTTTTCTCTGAAAATGTGAATATCAGGTAAGCGTCTCAGACAGCAAATGAATGAAACAGTATTCTTCTCACTTAATCACATTTCTAGGATTACTTAATCCCCTTTCTTTTCTATGATCCCACCTTTATTCACTCCCCTACACAATGCCCAAGAACCATATGGTAGTAATAATAATAATAGCCACTATGAGGTAAGCATTATATGCTATATACTATTGTATTTTATATGCATTATCCCACTTTATTCCCACCATGACTTGGTTATTCTCATTTTACAAATAAGGACACCAAGGCACAAACAAGTCCCTATTGATCTTTAAGTTTGGCTCTGACAGATAGTCTGGGTAATCCTAATCAGTACTTAGTAGTTTAAATATGGAGGGTGGTGGGAGAATGGGCAAAATAGGTGAAGGAGATCAAGAGAGACAAACTCTCAATTATAAAATAAATTAGTCATGGGGATGAAAAGTGAAGAATAGAGAATATAGTTCATAATATTATAATATTTTTGTGCAGTGACAGCTGGTAACTACTCTTAGTGTGGTGAACATTTTGTAATATATACAATTGTTGAATCACTATGTTGAATACCTGAAACTAATATAATATTGTATGTCAGCTATACTTCAATAAAAATATGACTCCTTGGCTACCAAGTAGATATTCTTGAGACAGTCTTGCATGGTCCTTCAACCTTCCCCCCATACTCATGGCTCGCACAGCCCTGATCACAGCAATACAAGTGCTCTGGGAAGGCAGTGTATTTCCACCTATGGAGAATAAAAGAGAGGAGGAAGATGGATGAGGCTTTCTCCCTGGTTCTCCACTGCCCTTTTCTTATGTTTCATGCTGTACAGAACCACACGAAGTACCTACTACCCCCTGCCCCTTCCACCCCATACACAAAGCAAGCTAGATAACTCCAACATTTCTTTTGAGAAATAGAAATGTTGATATAAACTTTAGGTCTGGGAAATGAGGTTATATAGGCTTACCAGAGATACTCGTCTCTTGCAGTTTGCAGAAGGAATAGCTGTTTTTATTATGGAAAGGAGCATTCATTATTTCTACCTTTTGTATCCCTGAATTAGATCTACTAAACAGAATGTTTCAGAAAAATTCCTTTTTTTCTGTTCTTTTTGAAGTCTGTGTCAAAATGAGAGGACACCTGAAGGAAAACACAGGGATCTGAAAGTAGAAAACTGGTTGGTGGCTGCCCATATTAAAAAAGGAAAAATCCAAACTTGACAAGATGAGCTAATCACATGAGGTGACTGAAGCAAGAAAGGGTTGACATAATAAGGAAAGTGTAGCACTTCATTATTTTGTTAATTCCTAGGTAAACTATATCAGCAATGATGACTCACATGAAATACAGAAATTCATATGCTATCACTAAAAATAATCACTTCCCCTGCACAAGACCAGTGGCCTATGGCTGAGTTGACTAGCCTTCTGGACATTCATGTTTACTTGCACAAACCTATCTACAAAGGGTTAACATACTCAGAAAGAAAATTCTTTCTTTTTGAAAGTCTTTCTTCAGGGATGACAGAATTCTTTTTAAACTTAAAACCTATTGGTATGTATTTCTTATTAAGAATCAATGCCTTCTCATTGTTGAAAAATTTATATACATAAAAATTAGCCACAGAGATAATCACTGTTAATAGCATGGCATAAGATTACAAATATAAATATAGAAAGGCATATATATGTTCCTTATTTTTTATCTGCTTATTCATATTTCTTTCTCTTTTCATCTATTATCTATTGGATATATCCTTCATCACCCCGTGGTACATTTCTTTTAATATTTAAAATATTTGGACTCCAATCTTCTATTTGGTTTACTAGAAAATATTCTTTCTTGCCTTGTTGGTTCCTCCTTTCTTATGATAAATCCCAAATTCTCATGGTTTTAAGCAATCCAAGTGAATGCACCTCGTAACCATTGCCAAGTGGGGAAAAATGTTGGAATATCTGATAACACCACTGGCCCACTTCCTGCAGCTGTTGTTGCTACATTATTTATCAGTTGCTTCACATGAGATCAGATGGTTCAGTAGTCTGATGCAGACTCCTGTTCACTTTAAGGAGTTTCTAAGTGATCTATGTACAGGCCATCTGATAGGATGTAAGAAAAAGAAAAAGGAAACCTCTTGCTCCAGTGTTACACCCCCCTGTATTAGATGCATGCCACAGTAGACAAGGTCTCAGATACATCTTTATTTGCTTTGGCATCTCCATGTAGCCAGGAGGTAGCAGCAGAAATCCAATAGGAGGAACATGCCATTCCAAGAACCAGATTTCTCCTTTCTTAAATGAAGCTCTCCTGTGCAGCTGGAATCACAGTTCAAACTTCTCAATAAAAGTGAGTATCCCTGGTTGGGGATGGGGAGTGGGTAATAGGGTTGATGTTGCTTCTTGACTGATGACATTAGTAAATGACATGTGAATGCATAAGATACACTGTAAAAACTTTTAACTTCCTAGAAAAAGGGTCTAGTATTTGATTCATTTCCTCTCAGAAGGTCTTTTGCCAGTTGCTTCTTCCCAAAGAAACCCAAGTTCAATATACCAATATGGCCTTCTCGTTGAATAATTGACCCCTTCTAAGTCTACATTCATTAACACTGAAGGGATCATTCCCATAACAAAGAAATTAACTTCAGTGTTTCTTGATGTCTTAACAACTTGTTATTTGTGGATAATTTCGAATGGTCTCACTGGGTATGCTGATATCTATTGTTGTGTATGGATTTGTGCCTCCCCAAAAGTCATATGTTGAAGCCCTAACACCAAATATGATTGGATTTGGAGATAGAGATTTTAGGAAGTAATTAAGCTTAAATGAAGTTATAAGGATGGAATCCTAATCCAATAGGACTGCTGGCCTTATAATAAGAAGAAGATCTCTCTTTTTCTCTTTCCATATGTATGCACCAAGGAAAGGACATCTGAGCACACAGTGAAAAGGTGGCCATCTGCAAGCCAAGAATAGAGCTGTCATCAGAACTTGACCATGCTGGCACCCTGATCTCAGATTTCCAGCCTCCAGAAATATGAGAAAATAAATTTTGGTTGTTCAAGCCACCAAGCCTAATATTTTTTATGCAGTCCCAGAAGACTAATAAAGATTTGGTACCAGGGGTAGTTTTAGAGGAACAGAATTTTAAGAAGGAGTTTTCTGAATTGGTTCTGAGGTTTCTGGAATTGGCTCTCTAGTCTGATTGGTTTTAAAGATGCTAATGGTTCTATTTCTAGTAGTTAAGAGAGCACCAATAGTCCATGACATGTTCTGGCAAGGTATATATATAAAATATCACCATTGGATATTCCTAATCAACTAATAAGAACCAAGGAGCTGGGTGACTGTGTATATGATACTTCCTAACATTTTTGGCAAACTAACAAATATAATGAGATTGGCTCATTGCTCCTAATGTTGCTAGACAAAGTGAGGAAAGAAAAAGGTGAGCTCAGATTTGAAGTCCCAGTTCAAATGCTATATAAATCACCTGAAAACTTCTATGTGTGCTGTGAAGGAAATCCTTAATTGCTGAAAATAAAATGCAGAATTTCTTCCTGCAATTGGTTGAATTACAATGCAAATTGAACTCCTGGCCTCACAGGGTGCCTGGGATTAAAGTGAGGGCATTGGTGGGAAAGAATGAGATCCCGTAAACTGGAATGGGGATGTGCGGGAAGACCCTGATGAAGCTGAAGACATTAAGTCCCTAAATTCTGATGAGTATTCCTTGCCAGTGGAAGCGGCCTCTCCACCCTCAGTAGTAGTAGCCTCTCTATCCCCATTTGAGGGGATTTATCCTACATTGTCCAAGAAAACTATAATGGCTTCTCCTGAGTTGCATCAAAAAGTTCTGAGTCTCTGCAGGGCCCAACTTATCACCCATCTTTGTTTTTAGATCTATGACTAGATTAGAGTTCCAGCAGCCCCATAAAGGTGAGGCACAAATGATGATCCATGAGAAGGTGCACTATGCACCAAAGAACTACATGAGTTTTCTAACTAATGAAGACAGAAATCTGGGAAAAATGTGTGGGAATGGGTATTAAGACTATGGGATGATTGAGAGTATGGGTGGAAGGAACATAAATTTGGATCAGGCCAAATATACTGATATGTGCTCATTAATCAGAGATTCTGCATTTAATGTTTTAGACTGGAAAGTTATTAAAGGCTCC